CGATCGAAGCACGAGGTATGAAGCGCTGAGCGAAGTAAAAACCGAAGATTACACACCGCCCCTGGGCGAGCAGGCGCGTTACAGTTGGCGAAGCGGTTCCACAACATGTAACTGGTAGTTCTAGTATCGGCCCTCGCGGAGGAATGTCTTAAACAAATGATAATCCAAACTCAATTAACCAAGGCCATTACACCCCTCTACTGTATCAGTCTGAGAATTCCATCCAAATTTCTACCACACCATCACGAACCCTTTCCAAGGCGTTTTGGCAGCCCAAAATGCTATTCTTCATTTTTCATTTCGCCATGAAGTTCTTCCTCCTCAGTGCCATTGCCCTATTTGCGTCGGCGACCACCGCCCAAACCAACAACACCTTCACGGTTTTCGACGACCGCGCTCGAACGTTGATTGAGGAGGATGAATTTCTCTTGTTTTTCCAAAATGCCAAGGTAAACCGCGCTTGCCACGAACAAAACGCCAACTACATCTCGTCCCTCAAGGCCGGACAGTACTCGACCAGTGCGTTCTACAACTGCTTCCGCACCCTCGATCAAATCAACGAGTTCATCGATACCTTGGTCGCCCAAAACTCGAACTTGGTGAGCAAGTTTGCCATCTCTAAGACGTACAAGGGGGCCACGATTTACGGGTACAAGCTGACCAAAGGCCACTCGAAATCGCTGTACTTTCAAGCCCTGCAACATGCCCGCGAATGGGTCGCGGGGTCATCGATTCTGTTTTCGTTCTCATCGATTCTGGATGACATTGCCAACAAGAAACCCACGGCGGCCGACGAGTACGACTTGTACTTTGTGCCGGTCGTCAACATTGACGGCTATGAGATGTCGTGGAAGGACGGCTATCGAAGCAAGCGCACGAATGCCAACGAAGTCGACTTGAACCGCAACTGGCCGACTCCCTTCGAGAACCCCAACCCCCCTGTCAAAGGCGACGGGACGTACCCCGGACTTAAGCCGTTCAGTGAGCCTGAAGCCGCGGGCATCAATGAATGGCTCCTATCCAAGCGTGATGAAATCCAAGGTTTCCTCGACATTCACGCATGGGGGGGGCTCATCTTGTACCCATATGGGGACAATAACCAGACCATTGGCGGGGGGTTTGACGAGAAGTTCCAAGACCTCGGTCGTGGATTGAAAAACGCCATGGGGGAGTACGCACCTGGACCGTCGTACACATTGTACGCGTCGTATGGGTTGTTCAAAGATTATGCGTTCCGCGAGTTCAAGAAGGCCGCCGTGACGATTGAAGTTATCGGCGATACATATATCGCGAAAGCGTCGACCATCCCAACACGCGGTCTCGAAGTATACAAAGGCATAAACCAATTCGCAAAGGAAGTCACCGTGTTCAACGGTGAAGACGTCACCCCCAACAAGCCGTCCCATGGCGATTAGGAGCCAAGAGCTCGAATTAAAAGTCAAATCGTATTGTGTCAATGGTACTATCTGCGGGTCGTGGTTTTCAACTCCCAGCACAGTGCAGCACGGAGACGTAACGTCGCCAAAATCCTCTGTACTCCTAGGCAACGTAAAACAACCCAGGGTACTTCCTCTGTTCGAATTTTCTGACCAAATTCAATGAATCCTACCATGTCTGAAAGAGAATAAAAATATGAAGGTATTGTGTATTGGCTGCAATGCGCTAAACAACCAATTTCGTACTGCCGATTTGATACAAATTTGGGGAGGGGAATCGCCGGATCCACAATCGATCTGATTTGTTGAATTTCATTGAGTGGTTTTCATTGGCTAATAATTTTGAGCTCATCTGAGGTAGCCAATCAAATAGATTTAAATTCCGACGAGAAACCACGCCACAACACGAAATTTCACTCGAAAGCACAATACTGTAAATTTGATCCGTCATCGGGTATCAGGAAAAGATTCAACATAATGAGGGTTTATTGAATTTATTCTGGGGACTTGGTACTTTTGGCCACCCGTGGTGTTGCGTGGAATGGAGGGCAGATATAACAACCGCTTGAAGCTGCCGCCCCTGGAAAAGTATCGTTAAGTGACGCATTGGGGGACTTCAGAAACTGTCACAAAGTATATTTGAGCCGCTTCTGACTTAAAATTATCCGTATAAAAGTCGAATATTATTGCGCGTGCTGTCTTGCCAGTGCTTTGAAATTGTCATAGTTTTCACTTTTTTGGGACTTCCTATTGGCTAGAATTTGTGCCGAGATTGATGGACGACACAATTCTGGCATTTGAAAATCACTATCAGCATGGCGCCGAAAGGAATAGGACGAGGGAAGGGATGGAGCAATCCAGAAGTGATGTTGATGTTGGACTGCGCCGAATCGCACCTATCGCTTGAATCAATGCTGTAAGGTGGATTACAATTCGCGAATTGGTTGGGTGGGATTGAGATGGTGGCGATGTATGCGCTTGGGATCGATTTGTTTCGATAAGTTGTTCGCTTGATGGACTTTCGCATGGAAATATATTAACCTATATATGATACTACCGGGAATCGGGATGGTCACGTTCGACGGCTCATATTCGCGCGTGCCCACCGGGTTGTTTACTCGTCGGCGGCGGTGGCCTTGGAGATGGTCTTTATCTTCAATTCCTTGTAGTACTCGTCAAACGACTTGAGTTCCGACGTCGCCATCGAGCCAGCGCCCAGGGCAAGCACAGCGGCAGTGACGACTTCTTTGATCGCGTTTCCTTTGGCCATGGTGATGTGTGTGTGGTGTGGTTTTTGTGGGCGATAAAGTTGAACAATGACCTCCAAAGGCGAGTCATCCACGCTCTGTGGAGAGGAGTGTGAGATATTCACATGTGATAGTGTCTTTCATTGTGAGCTGACCTCGATATAACCTCATTGTGCCCGCGATGGAGGTTTCGATACCGGTATCGTCGTCGTCATCCATGTGCATCCAAATCCACCACATCAAGAGCGTCACTTTTTGCAGCTCAGTCACCATTCCATTATATCCGTAAAACGTTATCCGGGTGAAATACAACACTGTCGGCACAAATTTGTTGAGGAGTATTTTTCGCCTCCACAAAATTTGTGACACAATGGGGGACTTCAGAAACTGTCACAAACTTTATTTGTGACAGTGAAATCAGCCGGAATTAATTGAAGTATTTTTCGCCTCCACAAAATTTGAAACAATTGAATTATAATTCCGGAT